TATATATATATATCATTGATTAAATATTTTTCTACTATATTTAGGGTTTAGGATTTAGGTCATCAAATATTTAATGAAAATCAATTTTATCTAATTTTGACGAAAAACTAATTAGTATTTTTAATTGCAGGATGCCATCTTCTACTTAAATGCATTTTCAGACAAAGGTGAAACTGAACTTTATGTTCCACGACCTGGTGGTCATCTAAAAGCTTTGATCTCATCAGTCATTTTAACTTTACAGTCGTGGAATGCCAAAACTATTTAAACGAAACTATTTTTTATTCACGAAATGTGTAAGTATAATTTGATATTTGTATTTTTTAATTAAAAATAAAAGTTTAATATTTAATCTGAGTATATAATTGTTATTAGAAATATTATTTTATTTTTATAGGAGTGAATGTAAATGAGTTAGATCTCCCTGAAGTTAAACAATATATATATATATATATTAAAGTCAAGTTTTGATGGCAATTTTTAATCGTCAAATTCATGTTATTAATTTCAGTTAATTTTCGGTCAATAATTCATTGAATAATTATAAATTCCCCCTTCAAATTAATGAATTCATTCTATGTTCTTTTATTTGAAGTTAAAGGAATCAAGTGCAAGTTCCTTGATAGTGAGTAGCATCGGGAGAGAAGCTGACCTACGTACAAATTGCCTCTTAATAATTTCCTCGACATTTACTTAACATCATATATATTTATATTATTTTAACATTTATTTATGATATTTAATTTAGATTATAAAAATTGACATGTCAAAATCTTTAGATAATCAATTAATAGTAAAGTCTAAAACAAGTTAAAACATTAAATTAGTTTACGTTGTAATATTTTTTAATTACACATTTTTATACTTACTGTTAGAAAATAAATTCAATAAATTATTTTATGAAGGTAATAATAAAAAATGATATTATTTTACGGCAGTGTGAGATTTATTTTAACACTATTCCTATTCTTTAACGTTGGTGATAAAATATCTTTTTAAATTTTAAATGGCTGCTTTGTCTTTAATTTTATTTCGGAAATTGCAATGAACGTAGGAAGGGTGTGGTGGCGTAGAAGAACCTCAATCGTGGGGAGGGTATTCGAGGGCCGGCGATTTGAACAAGATTTTTTTTTTTTTTTTTTCAGGGAGGATATTAATTTTTTTGCTCATGAATATTCGTGGAAACCGACCGAGGCAGCGTGTTATTGGGGGGGGGGGGGGGGAGGGTGGGTCGATGACCGAGGTAGCGTGTTCGGGGGGGTCGGTCACTGAGCTAGCGTGTTCAAGAGGTGCACGTCGGACTACGACCGGGGTATTATGATTGTGAGGTGCCGGTCGGATAACGACCGAAGTAATATGTTCGTGAGGTGCGATCGGATTACGATCGAGAGGGTGCGTTTCCTGAGTTGCGATCAGATTAACTTCAACATTTTATATATATATATATATATATATATGTACGGTCCAGGACGAAATCCAACTAGGGGACTCCACGAGGGACATGTCGGCCATGGCTAAGCCGACCTCCTGTCTAGCAAAGCCCTTCCGCCTTATAGGCTCAGTGCTGGAGGGCTAGTGTACGGTCCAGGTTGGATTCCGACCTGTCTACTACGTATGTCAGGCTGATTGTAGCTCTTGCCGATATGTCAGGCCGACTGTAGCTCTCGCCGATATCCCAGGACGACTATAGCTCTCGCCAATATACCAGGCCGACTGTAGCTCTCGCCGATATGCCAGGCTGACTGTAGCTTTCGCCGCACTACAAGAAAAATGATTATTATCTATGGAATATTATCTACGGAATTTTTTCCGTAGAGTAATGTTTAGTTATCTATGGAATATTATCTACGGAATATTACCTACAGAATTATTTCTGTAGATAATATTTAGTTATCTACAAAAATTTCTGTAGATAACTTATATCCGTAGATAACTTATCCACGAATTTTTCCTTAGATAATTTATCTACGAAAATTTTCGTAGATAACTTCACCTATAAATAAATTTCGTAGGTAAAACATTTTATTTGAAATATCAATTAACATATTTTATTATCGTTTCATTTTAATTTATTGTAAAATAATTAAAATATTTAATTTAGCATCATTAAAAAAGTAATCATTATATGATTTAATTTTTTTTAAAAATTTAATTATTTATTATAATACTTTTAGTCACCGTATCGACCAAAAAATATATTTTTGATTAAAATATATTTTAAAATTTAGTTAATTCATTATAATATTTTAAAATAAATATTTTTAAAATTGTTATTAGATAAGTTATTTACAGAAAAATCGGTAGGTAACTTATCTACGGATTTTTCCGTAGGTAACTTATCTATGGAAATTTTCGTAGATAAGTTATCTACAGAAATTTTCGTAGATAAGGTATCTACGGATTTTTCCGTAGATAACTTATCTACGGATTTTTTCGTAGATAATTTAGTAAATAAATTTCGTAGGTAAAACATTTGAAATATCAATTAACATATTTTATTATCGTTTCATTTTAATTTATTGTAAAATAATTAAAATATTTAATTTAGCATCTGTTCCGGTCACGGGGTACGCTAGGGTTTTTCCTAGGTCAAGCCGCAAAGCCAGAGCATTCAAAAGTGTAATCTGCCTTCCCAACTCTAGGGTTTCAGGCTTTATGGTGCGTTGTTCGTGGGCCTCTTAGATCCCAAGGATCACGGGATTTCCCTAACCGTTCTTATCACGATGATGCGAGATCAACGGGAACGAGTTTAGTCGGGGTCCGACCGACAGGGTCTATACCGAAAATTCGACGAGATAAGTACCGAGTGGTTCCCTGGTGGACAAGAGAAATCGAGCTCGCTAAGCCTAGTCGGTCTAGGGCCGAATAGGCTTTTACTGAACCCTACATCGGGTTAATACAGAGTAGGAGGTCATCTCACCTTATTTCCGAGAGCCCATAAGGTGAGAGGTCTTAGGGCCTGGTTGCCAAGTCGGGTAATTTCCGAGTATGGGGCTGTTGACGTCCTATCACCGTTAAGGAGATCAGATCGGCCCATGACCGAGACGGTACACTTGCCTTCCAGCCTTGAGCCTGTGAGGCGTGGAGCCTAAACCGAGTGTTCGTCTTAACGGCATCGGACCTAGGCCGAGAATATGTATCGGTCCGTGACCGAGACGGTACACTTGCCTTCCAGCCTTGAGGCTGTAAGGCGATAAGGCTAAATTGAGTATACATCTTAACAACATCGATCATGGTCCGAGAATATCGGATCGGCCCACGACCGAGACGGTACACTTTTGCTTTCCAGCCCTGAGCCTATAAGGCGAAAGGGCTTAAGGCCGGGCAACCTGATCGTGTATTTGACGAGTGGAAAACCAGGTCAGATGGCGACCTGGGCGGTATGCTGCGATGTTCCAACTCGTCGCGTGAGATCGCAATTTCCCAAAACCTGAAAAGGGGGTGTCTATTCAGCTTACTCAAGAAAGGACCTGTATTTATTACGAAATCGGCGTTGCAGGGGTGCGAATAATGACTGTGCCACGTGGCCAAACGTGTTGCTAAAGTTAATGGTATGCACCCCCCTCTCCTTCTTTTTGTCCCTTGGGTTAAGGGCTGTAACGTTCCATATGCGCTGCGATCCTTGGGTTTTCCCACTCCACGCGCGACCTTTGGGCTTTTATAATACACGCGCTGCGACCCTTGGGTTTCGCAACTCCACACGCGACTTTTGGATTTTTATAAATAGGGTAGCCTTCCTTTTTTGTAATTCCTTTGCCTTTCGTTCTACTTGCGGCTTTTCTTTCTACCTGCGTTCTCTTCTCCGGTGAGGACCTCTGCTCCATTGGAGAACTACGGTGGTGCGCGGTGGTGCACGGCGTGTTGGTGACATTTGTTGAGTGTGAAAGGGTCGTTTTTGTGTCTTTAGGTACGCCTATCTAATCCCCCTCTGGCCTTTCTTGATTATAGAGAACCTTTTAGTTCCCCCTTGTAGTTCAAATTTGTTTATACCATGGAGGCTGTAAGTTATGGAGACGCGTATAAGTGGGTCAAGGATGATGTGCTTCGTTGCTCCTCTCTAATGAATTCGTGGGCTGAAATGGACAGTTTTTGT